GTAGTAGTAGTAACTGTAGAAGCAGTGGTAAGAACAGAATTAGTAGTAGAAGTAGTGGTAGGGACAGAAGTAGTAGTAGTAGTAGCAACAGTAGAAGTATTAGTAAGAACAGAAGTAGTAGTTACTGTCGAAGCAGTGGCAAGTACAGAATTAGTAGTAGAAGCAGTGGTAAGGACAGAAGTAGTAGAAGTAATAGCAGTAGAAGCATTAGTAGTAAGAACAGAAGTAGTAGTAGTAGTAGTAGTAACTGTAGAAGCAGTAGTAAGAACAGAAGTAGTAGTAGTAGTAGTGGACAGTCTTACTTACCTACCGGAGGTGAACGCTCGCCCGGATGTCTTAAAAATCAGCCCAGATGAAGTTTAGGACGCGCGTAAGCTCATATTCCCATGTGTTACGTTCAATGTAATAATAGGATTCATTTCAGCTATTGATACAATTATATGAATATATTACTAGAATAGAAGACGTTTTCTGGGACCAGGGGTTTATTTGTCCGACGTTTCGAACCTTCCCGCGAGCTCATTGTCAAGGAGTGAAAAATGTACAGCTCACAGTGTATTTATCTCGGTTCTGCCGGGAGTGACCTCCGCCCTTGACCTCTACTATAATATACTATTCGCTGGTCTTAGTAAGTATGATTACTAAAATTAGCACTCTTTGCAGCGGCATTTACTTCTAGCAGCAATATCCTAGGGCAAACTAAGTAAAATATGACAGTTTTTGGTGGACAGAGGTGAGAGGGCGGAAACCCTGCTGTGCTGCGGGCTTCAAACAGAATAGCATAATCTAGCTACGCTGCTAGCCAGTAGTAGTAGAAATAGGAGTAGCCGTATCCATATCCGTCTCGGCCTCCTTGAGTCCAGCTTGACACCTGCTGAAGGTGAGTGAGAGTAGATAGTGCGGTAGTATCTGCGCAAAGTCTACTGTCGCTTAACACTAAATTAGGCGGTGTTTTCTGTCTTTCATCGGAGAAGGCGACCAATGACGGATCCAATCTGGTCTTCTTGACCTATGGTAAAGGTGAAGAGTGCGATTGGCGCTAACTACGTCTGTTATCACTTTAAATTACCCCCGATAGCCAGTCACCATCACTGGTGTTTATGGTGGACTTCATCGAAATGGACGGTCGAACTAACACAGTAGTAGTATTACAAGTAGTAACAAAAAGGACCGCGATTGTATCACAAAAAGAGTAATTGTAAAAGAAAGTCTCTACTCTTTACTCACCCGTTGCATCGCCTCAAACAGGGGTGAAACTATGAGAAGTAGAAGGACATGCGCAACCAGGTTTTTGTCAATAGCCTCCAGGTCCTAGCAAACAGGCAAATTAAATAGAAGCGGCGCGGAAAAGAGGACCTACAAGTATGAACCGTGCCTTCAGTTTTGGCAGCCACCAAACGGTTCTGTAGAGATTGAGGTATTGCAGGAGCATGGCAACCAGACAGAAAGTTAATCTGAAAAAGTGAAAGTTGATGCATCCAGTGTAGGGAACGGGTGGAATAGTGATATGCCTCACTGGGTCCAACTGCTTTGCCTCCGCCGACCTGAAATTTCAAAATAACGCAATATGAAGTGGTGGAACACAAAGCGTCTATACCGCAGGCATATGGGGGCGACAGTGATGCCTTTACCGATGCTCTTCCAATTTTGTTGACGAAACCTTTTGTGTCAGTCCTACAATAGACAGTGCTCTGGGATGACAACAAATGTAAACTCGTCCGCCCTACAAAAGTCCCCGAAGGCCGACATTTTTGCACACTAAGGGCTTCTTGAACCAAATCACTTTTGGATACTATAAAGTCTGTCTTTCGGTTGATCCAGGTCATGCGAAAGTACAGTTGCAACAACCAAGTATGCACAGGTACTGAGAACTTCTCCAGTCGGTCCTCCTCTATGATTGTGAATGCTGGGTTCTGCACGAGAAAAACAAGCTAAAACTGTAGGTTCTCGATTACCACCGCTTTAGAACGATCCCTTGAATAAATTATACCGAAGCAATCAACATCCACTGCAGCAGTATCAAGAGTATGCCTCCAGTCGCCCGGGAATGATGACTGCGGTTGGTTAGACACCTCCTCCATTAATACCGCCTAGTCAGACATGGTCAAGAGGTCGGCTTAGAAGCTGACTTCGCAAAGTTCGTCACGATACACAGTTGATTTTAAGGCTTTTTATATTCTGCCTCCGGTGTTTGAAACGAAAGAGTTTCAAGCTCTATGAACTCGCTATCTGTGATCATCGAGTATAAAAAGGTGTTTATCTGTTGCATCGCAGATGCCGGCTAGCGAAGCAAGTAGAGGTGGGCACTCGGTAGACGCCCAACAAGGAAACTGCGCCAAAGCACGTACGTGGACAACGCGGTGAGTAAATGCAGTAGGAAATAGCGAGCACCAGAATTTGAGACCGGGTCCCTAAGACCCTACTAATGTACGAAAAAATTACGACGGAGCGAAAAAGCCACCATAGTACAGCCGTCAAACGTTTTCTAGACAAAACCCGCTTACTTGTGTTAGAGTAACTGCGCAAAGAAAGAGGTCCGAACGTAAATGACATAGTCAAGCAAGCTCTAAAATAACTGAGACAATTAAATGTGAAAAAAGATTCAGATTAACTGACAAAATAGGCTGGTAGGACAGTGATGACTTACATGTTGATGGGTTCATAGTTAAGAATACTGAAACAGCATCTACTTCATCATCCATTCCCACACCCAGAAAAGATCAGGACGACTAGATATTATGTGGCTGTAGTGACTACTCAAGCCAAACTAACGTGCTAATACTTACGCACATAGGAAGGACTTTAAGTAAATAGCTTCGAGTATTTCATCGAAGGGTTATAATAACTGCCATACCCAGAAGCTTCCAATGCAGTCTGGCCCTAAGTCCGGTGACTGATGGAATTATCAAACCGGATGGTGACTTTAAAATTCACAAGTGCGGGTGCGTTGTCATAGTTCCAATGGTGGTAGGTTAAGTGCAATGAAAAAAGGGACCAAAGAAAACTGTTCCTCCCATCTTCTATAAAAAGAAGACAGGCCCGCGTCTAGCCGACTTCATCGGTCGGATGCAGAGGCTAAGGTGGCGCGTATTATACTTGTTCTTGGCCCATATTTATTATAAACGCAAAATTGATACTGCCAGTTGATTTGGTCTACAGTAGGTTACATATCTGATGAAAGGTTGGGAATTGGAGGATTTAATGTACACTTGAGGTTGTTTAGTTAGTTTACTGGGTTGAATTGGGTCGCCAAATGTTGTTTACTAGAATTTAATTACGTTC